CGCAAGTCCCCCTCACCCGGCCCCTGAGCAGTGGGGTACATACCCTCCGCCTCCGGCTAGCCCTTCCTGGGTTACCCATTTTTGCCTTCACACAAAGACCACTGATCCCCTCGGGTTTTATTCCACAGCAGGGAGTCCTGGGAGGGGTCTTTCAAATGACTTTTTCAGATGTAAACTTCTGGGGGGAGGGGGTTTAGACCTGATAGCTCAGCCCCTCAAACCGCCCCCCAACACTGGTGAGTGAGTGCCTCTCCCCCTCCGCACATCTCCCACAGGCAGCCCCAGGGACCACGGAGCCTGCTGCCCTGTCCTTGGGACATGCTGTCGGGAGAGACCGGACCCTGGAGAAGGACGGCACGTTTGGCAAAGTGGACGGGCAGGAAGCTGGCCTGACACAGTGGCTGCAACAGTGGGCTCAGAATGGAGTCGGAGCCTCTACCCTGGCCCACAGTGCCCTCTGTAAAGTGCTCCTGACTGCTCCCCCTCCCTCCCCCCTCTGTGCACTTCCCATACACTGATCATCTTTTGACTCGGAATGTTCTCCCTCTGCCTGGAATGCTCACCCTTCCAACCTGCCCTCCCACCTGAAACAAACTAACAAACAAATGAACGAACAAAACAGACCCAGCTGATCCCTGTGTATCTGCTTGTCTTGACTGGGTACCTCTGCTGTGACCCATAGAGCCACCACTCTCACCCTCTCATCTCTTGGTGGCACATGCTACTTTGTTGAAGTGTCCCAGTAAACTACACAGTCTCCAGAGCAGGATTGTGTCCCCACCGCAGTGCCTCCCATAGAACTCTCTTTGCCATAGGATTTCTCCTCCCTGAGGATCCCAGCCATGAAGGCTAACCTGAAATGTCTGTGTTTCAAACCCAGAATCCCCCACCCCCTGACTCCCACTTCACTTTTCAAAACGAATCATCTGCCCTTGTTCATTCCCCTCCTCCCCAAGGACAGAAAACATCCTCCCTCCTGGGTCTGCTTCTGCCTAGAAAACAGTTGTTCACCTGAGGAATTGGGGGGGGGGGCATGTCCCTTCCCCAGAGAAGCAGAGATAGCAGACGGTAAGGAGGCCCCATGCTGCTTCTGGTCCCAAGTCCTGCTGTCTCAGAACCAAGAGCTGTCTCTGTCATTTGTAGTCATTTTAGCTAACACCTTCCCCCCTTTGCATCTAAACTGCTTTTCCATGGGCTCCTGCCACTCTACAATCAAGTGCCCTGACCAGTACAGTCTCTAAAGGTGTCACACCTTCACAGGCACACAGGGAAGGGTGGATTGTAAAGTGCATGCTACAGAGGAGACCTAGCAGGGCAAATCTGCACTTCCAGTGCCTCAGGCTTGTGGATCTGGGGGGGGCTTCTCTATCTGCAAGCAGCCATGTGCACCTGCGGATTGGCACAGGAGCCAAGAAGCTGCCCAAGAAACCACTTCGAAACTCATCGTCCACTGGCTACCTTCCCTAGTATGTGCCTGCCTCTGTCTGCTGGGCTCTTTTCCTAACTCAGAAAGGTGTAGGATACGGCACAGCCTGTATTGTATGGCCGGATGAATATTTCAAAGAAAACCTCTCTTCAAACAGGATTGCATCGCCAGGAATATGGGTTTGGATTCCAACCTACATATATATATATTTGGGGGGCTGGGGGCCACAATACCAAATGACTGAACTCCTCTTCTTTGTTACCTCTGATCCCTGGCTATGCCATTCAGACATAGATCCCTACCGTGGCATGGTGCCATCGCCTCTATCCCCAAGACTTCAGAAGATAGTGGGGGGGGGGGGTGTCATGTGTGTTAACAGCCCAATCCCTTAATTTTCACAGATGAAGAAACTGAGGCCCAGGAAGGAATCCTACAGATGCATGGGGGTCTTTCCAAAGGAGACAGTGGGAGCAGGAGAGGCAGGGAGGAGTCCTGACAGAGAGCAGCACATGACTGACAAGGAGCTTGGGTGTCCAGTGCGAACTGCCCTGGTCTCAGCTCTGATACCAGGTTACCCTGTGAACCTGGGCCGTGGAGGTGCCATACAAACGGACCAGGAAGGGCCCTGCGCCGGAGAACTCTTTCAGGTAATGGTCATTTGGAAAGTTGGAGCTGGAAATTGCTGGGTACTAGCATGTTATTCCCGCGTCTGTGAACAGCCACTACATTTAGACTCTCCCCCAAACCCTGTGGGGCTCAGAGCTTGGCCACCGTGTTAATCTATTACTCCACGTATCCCTTGTCAGGCCTGGGGGTCCACGGAGCAGTGGCTCCTCCCCATTATTGAACCACATCTTTTCAACCCACCCCCCAAGCAATGTCCTGTGTCATCATTGCACAATTGTCATTGGTCAGATGTCCAGCATCTAGTCAGTACGCATATTTCAGTGAGAAGTTAACACCTCTGACTGACTGCTTAGGGCCCCTAGAACTACTCTCACCCTCATTTGTCTATCAATCCCACAAGCAGCATTCGTCCAAATCCCTGCTCCCCACTGCTGGGACCCCCTGACCCAGACAGGGTTCGAGGCAAACACATTACCTGTATAATTCTAAGCTGTTGAGGCAAACACATTATCTGTGTAAGTCTCCTAACCTGTTGATCAGAGTCCACAGTTGCTTGGTCTGTTTATGGGGGAAACACTTGTTGACTTTACTCTTCTACTCACTAAGACTTTAGACCAGCGGTTCTCAACCTGTGGGTCTTGACCCCTTTGAGGGTCAAACGACCCTTTCACAGGGGTCGTCTGATTCATAACAGTAGCAAAATGACAGTTATGAAGTAGCAATGAGAAAAATGTTTTGGTCGGGGGTCACCACAACATGAGGGACTGTATGAAAGGGTCGGGCATTCGGAAGGTCTTCACTAATTACCTTTCCCCACGCCCCTTTCCTTCCAGTTGCAACACTAGGCTTTTCTAGGGCTCAAAATCAGATCCTTGAAGAATGAAGAAAAATCTTAACTCATTTCCATGAAAAAAAATTTTTTTGAGTGTCTGATTCATGGTAGTTCCCAACAGGGCACGAGATACAAGGAAATAAAGTGATCCTGATTCTTTCCTTAAGAATCGCCCAGGCTGTTGGACACATGAACACTTATCTGTATGTTCTCCTTAGGATTTTTCAGTTACTGGTGCCAGAGAATTGCACAAAGAAGGTGCTATAACACTATAGAATGTTGCTATAACAGAACCCACAAGTGGAGGCTTTAGCAAACAAATTTATTTTCTCACCGAGTAGGAGGCTGGAAGGTCTGGTTCAGGGCATCACCT